TCAATCAGGGTGGATGTGGCCCATTCCCAGCAGTTGACAAGAAGGTGTGAATATCAACAGAGGGAAAATTACTTTTTGTAGTGACCCATCCACTCCCAGTCTTTATTTAGGCCTAATTTGATGGTGTCAAGTTTGCAAATTAATTCCAGCTCTGCAATTTCTCACTGAAGTCTGTTTTTGAAATTTTTTTGTTGAAGAATGGCCACTTTTATTTTTGCTTAGTGTAATTCTTCTACAGGACTTTGATCTCTAACATTTATACAAATTCTCAAGTCTGTACTTTATCTAAGTAACCCTCCGGTCCTTCTTGCAGGTGGGACAGGGAAGCTTAAACTTGGAGACACGATGACATGGCACAGATAAGAAAGCATTATTATAGCAATATCTCCTGGGAGGACATGATATACTCAGCAATTCACATTCCTCCTAGAACTTCCTTATCTGTATTATATCATGTTTAAACAGAAACCCTGTGATTAATTTAATTATGTTTATTCTATTGATTGCACCCTCAGTGATGAGTAGATACCCCAAATTCTATTATATCTGAATATTCAATTTTTACTTTTCTATTCCTTTTATAGTTGTAATATATCTTACAGTTTCATCAACATATCACAGTGTAAAAACATTAGGTAAATATGGTATAAAACAAACCTTTTGGTTAAGTCATTTTAATTAAACATTTACCCATACCATGTTCCTTATAAATTAGAGTTTTGAGTTCCTAGCTAAAGTATAGATTCAAGAATTGCAGCAATACCTTTGGGGAAGAATGCAAACTGATGAGTGTAGCATTTCCTCTCAGGAAAAATTGCTGAAGTTACCACTTTAGTTGTGCCATGTCTTCCTGCTTCAAGTTAAAGCTTCTCACTCTTACCTTCAAAGCCCTGTATAGTTTTGCCCTGTTTTCTCTTCCAACTTCTGCTGCTGATTTTGTCTAATCTTCCTTTTCCTCCCTACCCTCCTTCCAAGACTCTCTGATCGCTGTGGAGGTTGCCAACTCTCATGATTTTATTGCTAGCCTCAAGATATTTGGTGTGTTTCTTACAGACCTAGGTCCTGGAGATTTGATTATGTTATTTTCATTTTTCAAAAGTAAGTTTTCATCTCTTGTGGAAGAAAGCTTGAACATGAACCCTAAAGAGTCCCAAACCAGGAGGCAAATAAAAAGAACCAAAAGCATATTTTTTTGAAATCTCATGGTTTGGAAGCCAAGCTCATACATTTTTGGGGCCTACCTGCTGATTTATAAGTGCTTGGGCTTGGCAAGCCCCTTTTGCTTCTCCCATTCTTTGTATCATGCTGCTCTTCAGGGTTATTTAGAAACAGCTCCCATTTCTCCTCTGCCACAAATACTCCCTCTCCACCAAACCACTCCCTTCATAGAATCATAGAATCATAGAATATAAGGGTTGGAAGGGACCCCAGAAGGTCATCTAGTCCAACCCCCTGCTCGAAGCAGGACCAAATCCCAGTTAAATCATCCCAGCCAGGGCTTTGTCAAGCCTGACCTTAAAAACCTCTAAGGAAGGAGATTCTACCACCTCCCTAGGTAACGCATTCCAGTGTTTCACCACCCTCTTAGTGAAAAAGTTTTTCCTAATATCCAATCTAAACCTCCCCCACTGCAACTTGAGACCATTACTCCTCATTCTGTCATCTGCTACCATTGAGAACAGTCTAGAGCCATCCTCTTTGGAACCCCCTTTCAGGTAGTTGAAAGCAGCTATCAAATCCTCCCTCATTCTTCTCTTCTGCAGGCTAAACAATCCCAGCTCCCTCAGCCTCTCCTCATAACTCATGTGTTCCAGACCCCTAATCATTTTTGTTGCCCTTCGCTGGACTCTCTCCAATTTATCCACATCCTTCTTGAAGTGTGGGGCCCAAAACTGGACACAGTACTCCAGATGAGGCCTCACCAATGTCGAATAGAGGGGAACGATCACGTCCCTCGATCTGCTCGCTATGCCCCTACTTATACATCCCAAAATGCCATTGGCCTTCTTGGCAACAAGGGCACACTGCTGACTCATATCCAGCTTCTCGTCCACTGTCACCCCTAGGTCCTTTTCCGCAGAACTGCTGCCTAGCCATTCGGTCCCTAGTCTGTAGCTGTGCATTGGGTTCTTCCGTCCTAAGTGCAGGACCCTGCACTTATCCTTATTGAACCTCATCAGATTTCTTTTGGCCCAATCCTCCAATTTGTCTAGGTCCTTCTGTATCCTATCCCTGCCCTCCAGCGTATCTACCACTCCTCCCAGTTTAGTATCATCCGCAAATTTGCTGAGAGTGCAATCCACACCATCCTCCAGATCATTTATGAAGATATTGAACAAAACCGGCCCCAGGACCGACCCTTGGGGCACTCCACTTGATACCGGCTGCCAACTAGACATGGAACCATTGATAACTACCCATTGAGCCCGACAATCTAGCCAGCTTTCTACCCACCTTATAGTGCACCCTTCTATCTCTGGTGCTTATACAGTCCCCATTACTGCACTGAGTGCCTCACACTCTTTAATGTACTAATCCTCACAAAACCCCTATGAGGTAGAAAAGTATTATCCCACAGAGACTAAATGACTTACCTACAATAATATAGAACATCTGTGATGAAGCAGAGAATTTAACCCAACTTCCAGGCTCATGCCCTACCACTGGACAATACTCCCCTCTCATCTTTCCTTTAAAGTCCATTTTCATCCTTGATTCTTTCCAACACTGATATAGCCAGTCAGAAGTGTTGTCTGGTGTTTTGATGTTTGTCTTCGTAAGCTCTTTGGGGCAGGGGCCTGGTCTTGTTATTCTTGTAAATCATGATGTTCATTTACAGCACTGTAAGTCAGATTCTGATTTCTGTAGGAGCCGAGGAAGTCAGCATCCCCCAGAGTGGGCTGAACTCCTTGTAGGATAGGGCCCTATATAAATAATAATAATAATATGTAACCAATTACCCAGCCGAAGCAGGCTACTTACAAAGTCCATGCTGTAACTTTCTGATAATTTCCCAGTCATCCCTCAGAAGTAAAGCTAATTTTTCTTACATCTGAATGTTGACATTTTTTCATGTCAGTATTTTGCAAAGACAATGGTTACATTTTGGGTCTCTTGACCCTCATGTATTAGAAAAATAATACAAAGTAAGAAATAAGATGTTTAGGGTTGGGCCTACTGCAAGTATTTCACAGTCTGCTCAGTAAATAAAGAATAACATTCCCAGTGCCAAAAGGAATGATTTATTAAGTGAGCCATTTGCAAGATATGCACATGGTGGGTATTCACCATCTTTGTGTTTATCAGACATTATTAAACACGGTTTGTGAAAGACATCCAGGGCAAAGGACACGAATATCAGAGATACAGTCTATACAGCAGAGAAGAGAGAAGCAACCAGTAGTGTCCTCCAAAAGCAGCCCTGTCAGTATCAAACTTCCCAGATGAAAGCAAAAGAACAGCGTCTTTGAGAATGGCTCCATGTTCAGGAATCTAACTGAAAGCAAAGTGGAAAGATGGAGATGCTGAAGAGGATCAGCTTATGTAGGTTTTCATATGTCAGGCAACAGCAAGTGATGTGTTCTGATGTTTGCTGATATGAAAATCAGTGTCTTCTGACAATTGGGGGTGATAACTTGGATTCAGAGCCAGTGATGGATGGGTGGCAAAGACCAAAAGACAGAATAACATTTGAGATAGGAAAGCCTGTTGGGGTGGCTAGGTGGAAAATTATATACAGATTTTACAAAGATTAGCAAGACATAGAAGGAATTTTCTCACAAATTTTAAACCCATGGCATAATTTTAATTATGCCCAAATGATTTTATTACCCAACATGGCTCTGGGACTTGATTTTAAAGCCAAGCAGCCTTTCAACAACAAAACAAAACAAAAACCCCAAAACAATGCAGCAGCAGCTAAGGAAAAGATTTCTCTTCTGTGGCTGCTATATGAAATATAGAAACTAAAAATATCTTCTTGCTGGCAAATTTGTCAACCTATGATATTTTAGTGGAACAATTCCATTGGCTTCATCTACAAACCCCTCATATTGTCACAGATGATACAAATATTTTCCCAAGTAGCTATGAGACTGGAACAGAAAATTGCAAATGTGAGGTTGGTGTTTTTCTGTCTTTTGCATTTTACCTTATTATGCAAGTATTTCTACTGAAATAAGTGGGACTACTTACAAAATAAGGCACCATTCAATGCAAATGAAGGTTCACAATCTGGATTCATGTGCATAAAATGTGTTCACAAATATAAAATATGTTCACAAATAGAATAGACACAGTGAACAAATGTTCTGTTGGCTCATAAAAATGGAGCAGATAAACACACTGGATTTGTAGTAATTGGGTTGTCCAGCTAATTAGATGACGTTTTAACTAGATGTGACAAGTAGAACTTTTTGATACTCTCTTGAATACCAAATAATAGCTTTCAAAATTTGATGAATAACACGGCCAATTTTTTAATTACCTCATGAGATTTTGAGATAAGGAAGGGATGAGATTTTGGCACTTGCATTCTATTGCATTTCAGTCAGTTAAATAGAACTGATTGAGCTCCAAAGTTTCATCTTTGATCTGTGCATGTGGCTTCAGCAGCACTGAAGAGTCTCTGAGATAGGAAAATGCTTGATGGTGCTGCAATTCAGAATGTTTGGCAGGAGCGACAGGCCCACACCCCAAATCCAAACACCTACGTAGCTTGGGGAAGCTCAGATCTATATCTGAAGTTTTCAATTAGGCCCATCTCTAAAGATACAGTAAAACAGTCTAAATCCTAAACTAAACTGGAGTGAACTGCTTTTGTGTTTCAAGCAAGGTGCTGCCAGTACTTTGTCCAAATGCCTCCCTATTGTTGTATGACTGATCATTTGGAAAGGACCCGTAAAACATTTTGCGTTTGGTGTTTGCTTTTGCGTGTGAGATTGGTATGAGCCTTTTTAACTAGTGCTGTGAGTTTTAAAATATGCACTTGGCTGTACCTGCCGGTTATTGAACGCTTCACGAATTTGCATGTCATCCTTGGGCAGGGGGCATGCTAATCTTCTCTGTACCGTGCCAAATTTTAGAATATGTGCTGCCGATGCAAGGCATTTCTCTGTTCTAATGTGTCACACATAGGTCTGGTAGAGCTCCCCTGCCTGAACACTCACCAGTGTTAAGGAAAAGTTAGCATATGTGACTCCATTTTGGTTTGGGGCCCACCACTGTCTAAAAGCAAGCACATCGTGCACCAGGAGGAGTGTTCCTTAGATACTGCATTCCTGTGAAAACCCTCCCCCTTGTTTCCAGCCTGTCTCAACTCCTGGTTTCTGTTATTTGTCTGTTCCTAACTCCCTGCTTCCTGGCCTTGATGCGAGCCTCCCATCCTGATAAGAAAGGCTACTGGTGCATTGCTTTAGGACCATGTTGTGTAGTTGCAGTAATGGTTTAGCACAGGGAATGTACCTAGCAGGGATAGGTGGTAGATAAGGGAAGGGTTTGTCTATTGGCTAAGGTTTCCGATGCACGAGGGCAACGTGCTTTGCTAAAAGGTATATAATCTCTGTATAACCTGCATTCGGGGTCCCCTCCTGACTAGCAGGGGGGGCACCACGCTCGAGTGTAATAAACTTAGTATCTTTGGGAACTCTGCAGTTGTGGACTTTGTTCGTGTGCCTCAGCCTAGACTTGAACTGTGCGTGACCTATCGGGTATAATTCGCAGCAGTTCCTGTGCGTGACCTATCGGGTATAATTCGCAGCAGTTCTTGTGCATGACCTATCAGGTATAATTCGTAACAGTTTGTGTGCGTGACCTGTCAGGAATAATTCGTAACAGTTTGTGTGCGTGACCTGTCAGGTATAATTCGTAACACCAGACTATTATATTTGGGCATTGCATGCTGGACCAGTATGTTCTTAAGCTTCCCTTAGTCTGAGTAGGCAGCAGCACTGTGTCTCTCCTTGGCTTCCCTGGCACAAGTGCTCTGTCTATTATTCCTTCACAGAAATGGGGGTTGAAAGGCAGCTGTCCTAGGCCCCCGCCACCAATGTCAACCCCCTAGCAGTGTAAGCATACCCTTTTCCAGATCGCTAACCTCGTGGATGCTCTAGATTTACCATTCCTTTTTCACTCAAATGTGACACTGGAAGCAAACAGACACACAGGCTTTGTAAGGGTTCCCCCCATCACTCTTTTCTTTAACTAGCACAGGAAATATACAGATCTAGACTAAATAATAAACACACCTGTACACATTACCTTGCCTTAGTTTCTTAATCACTCTTTAGCATTCTTTGGGCTCAAGGAAGAAACCTCTAAGGAAATCACAATCCTTCCACTCCCCCAGCCCATGGCTTCTCCTCTGGAACATGGAACTGAGTAGAGTGAAGACTTGTCTCCCTCTCCCTAGCTGGTGAGAGCCTTTTTCTTTTGTAAGCTCCAGCCCCCTTTGTCAGGTGACCCCCCCCCCCAATCAATCTTGACAGGAGATCAAAGTTGCCCACCAGGTGATCCGCTGCTTGTTACCACTCCCCTACCGTTCAGACATGAATAACAGGCTAGCCCTTGGTTGTAGCCATTTCCTTGTGCTTCATTTAAGTGGACAATTATCAAAGTTTAATTACCTTAAAGGTTTGCCTTGCACCACCATACAATTTTAGTCCAAGATAAAAGTAAAAAGGCAACAGGAAGGCAAAGCCAAGACTTGCAATCCAAATGGAGTTTGCAGTCGGACACAGACAAACATAAAGAGTCCCCAGTATCAAACAGAGTTCATAAACTGTACTTAGACAGATTCCCTACATTGTCAAACAAGCTATCCATTTTTGTTGCCAAAACATTTTACACCATTCTATTTCAAAGCCATGCAACATCCCAGAGGTCTTGTCGCAATTGTGCTACTTCCTTGACTTGCTCTCTACTAGCGAAGATAAGTATCTCCCATAAATTCAGCAACTGTAGTTAGCACATGGTGGCAGTAAGCAAGTAATCATTGTAAGTTAATGCTCTTTCTGAAGACTTCACAGGCAGTAAATCATTAAGGGGCTCTCTCCAGCTGATGTGTTTGGTTCTTCATGCAGAGATGCCAATAAAATCCTGACAGCTTTGTTTTTTTTTCCTTGTAAAGATGTAAGTAAATCATCTGCACTGCGCTACCCACTACTCTGTAGGGTCCTGATCCAATTCCCATTGAAAGCAAGGGGGGTCTTTCCTTTGGATCAGGCTATAAAGCAACTTTCCATTTTTAATGCATCAGGATCCCACAAGACTAGGTGCAGTGAGTAAGATGGATTTTTTTTAAATTAAAGGCATGTGTGTTAGAAGCTAGGAAAGGCTGTCCTAAGCATCACTGAACAAAGAGCAACCTTGGGGCAGACTCTCAGCTGGTGTAAATTGTTGTAGCTAATGGAGCTATGGCAGTTTATTTCTTCCCAGAAGAGCAAGCATGTACTGTAGCGATGCAGGTCTTCCATTTGCAACATGGAGTTTTAGGCCCTGATTCAGCAAAGTACATAAGCCCAGATCCTCAAAGGTATGTAGGCACCTAACTCCCTGTCACAGGGTCCACTCGTTGCTAGGGTAGCCTCCTCCTGGCTGCTCTGGGGCTTAGCTCCTGCTGTTCCTGTCCAACTGAGCCTCGTTTAATTAATCACTGCTTCCTGGCTCCTCCTCCAGGTGAAGCGTGGGGAGTTACTTGACCCAGCTAACGACCTTAACCCCGCCAGGGCTTGTGTGTGGCAGACACCTCAGCACACTCCCATTGAAAAAGTCTGATCCTACACAATTAAAGTCAGTGAGACTTTTGCCATTGACCTCACAGTAAGCAGAATTGAGCCCTTAATGCTTTGCTGAATTGTTGTCCGACTCTACATGTTCTGGGGAAGCCTGACCTTGGTACAGTAACTGAGGAGAATGAGCAGCAAACTACTGTAGTGTAACAATTTTTACTCCCTTAATAACTAAACATTTCTGTTTGAAAAGTTCTCACTTATATTTATCGTGTCCATAATATAAATGGAGTTGTTGCTCAGCTACTAAGCTCCTGAACTGATTGCTAGGTGTGACATCAAAACACCTTTAATTCTGCCAAGATCCTATTGAATAATAATGCAATAGGAAATACTTCAGTGAAGTAGAAATGCATTTCAGCAATAGCCATTGCTTTGAGAGCTGGCATAACTATGCAGGTTTGTTATGTTTTGTATTAGTACTGTATATAGATACAGGGCAGATATTATAGTCATACAAAAATATTGTATCTATTGACAAGCACCACATATTTTAATCTATTCTGTCTGTGCTGAGAACTTGCAGCATGAATCCTGCAAAGACTTGAGCATGTGCTAAACTGTGAGCCCTGTGAGTAGTCCCAATGAAGTCAGTGGAACTACTCACAGTATGTTAAGTTAAGCACATGTGTAAGTCTTTTCAGGATAACAGCCTTACATGTTACACTTTTCTATGCTAGCTATAAAAAAAGAGAGAATTTTTTTTATCAATGATCAAAATAAGAAAAGTGAAAGGTTGGCAGGTAGCACAAAGAACTAATAAAATGGGCGGCTGTGATTGCAGAGCCATTGGCCATTATCTTTGAAAACTCGTGGTGAACGGGGGAAGTCCCGGATGACTGGAAAAAGGCTAATGTAGTGCCAATCTTTAAAAAAGGGAAGAAGGAGGATCCTGGGAACTACAGGCCAGTCAGCCTCACCTCAGTCCCTGGAAAAATCATGGAGCAGGTCCTCAAAGAATCAATCCTGAAGCACTTGCATGAGAGGAAAGTGATCAGGAACAGCCAGCATGGATTCACCAAGGGAAGGTCATGCTGACTAATCTAATTGCCTTTTATGATGAGATTACTGGTTCTGTGGATGAAGGGAAAGCAGTGGATGTATTGTTTCTTGACTTTAGCAAAGATTTTGACACGGTCTCCCACAGTATTCTTGTCAGCAAGTTAAGGAAGTATGGGCTGGATGAATGCACTATAAGGTGGGTAGAAAGCTGGCTAGATTGTCGGGCTCAACGGGTAGTGATCAATGGCTCCATGTCTAGTTGGCAGCCGGTATCAAGTGGAGTGCCCCAAGGGTCGGTCCTGGGGCCGGTTTTGTTCAATATCTTCATAAATGATCTGGAGGATGGTGTAGATTGCACTCTCAGCAAATTTGCGGATGATACTAAACTGGGAGGAGTGGTAGATACGCTGGAGGGCAGGGATAGGATACAGAAGGACCTAGACAAATTGGAGGATTGGGCCAAAAGAAATCTGATGAGGTTCAATAAGGATAAGTGCAGGGTCCTGCACTTAGGACGGAAGAATCCAATGCACCGCTACAGACTAGGGGCTGAATGGCTAGGCAGCAGTTCTGCGGAAAAGGACCTAGGGTGACAGTGGATGAGAAGCTGCATATGAGTCAGCAGTGTGCCCTTGTTGCCAAGAAGGCCAATGGCATTTTGGGATGTATAAGTAGGGGCATAGCGAGCAGATCGAGGGACGTGATCGTTCCCCTCTATTCGACATTGGTGAGGCCTCATCTGGAGTACTGTGTCCAGTTTTGGGCCCCACACTTCAAGAAGGATGTGGATAAATTGGAGAGAGTCCAGCGAAGGGCAACAAAAATGATTAGGGGTCTAGAACACATGACTTATGAGGAAAGGCTGAGGGAGCTGGGATTGTTTAGTCTGCAGAAGAGAAGAATGAGGGGGGATGTGATAGCTGCTTTCAACTACCTGAAAGGGGGTTCCAAAGAGGATGGCTCTAGACTGTTCTCAATGGTAGCAGATGACAGAACGAGGAGTAATGGTCTCAAGTTGCAGTGGGGGAGGTTTAGATTGGATATTAGGAAAAACTTTTTCTCTAGGAGGGTGGTGAAACACTGAAATGCGTTACCTAGGGAGGTGGTAGAATCTCCTTCCTTAGAGGTTTTTAAGGTCAGGCTTGACAAAGCCCTGGCTGGGATGTTTTAACTGGGAATTGGTCCTGCTTCGAGCAGGGGGTTGGACTAGATGACCTTCTGGGGTCCCTTCCAACCCTGATATTCTATGATTCTATGATTCAATTAACAATATAGTTAACTTGTTTAAACCAACTGAAACTGGAGTAAGAAAATA